TGTGTTCTTGGCTAAGGATTAAATGTTTTGAGTTCTGGGACATATCTAAATGAATGCAGAGTTTGCAAACACCACGAGGACCATTTCAACTCATCCTGGTACATTCTTCTTCACAAGGTCAAAAATTCTTCCTTGAGACATGTGCTTTTGACTTGTTTCCTTTTCTTTCTTCTCTCTTTTTTTAAAAAAAATGTTTTATCAAAAGTTAAAGAGTTTTTCCTCCAAGCAATCTATCACTCCAGAATGCTAATAGGAAGAAAAAAAGCTGCATACTATCAGGACTAAAACTATCCCCCTGTTATCTTATTTTCAACCACCAGCAACCTGCTGTGCCCAGGAGTGGCAGAACGAGGCACCTGCCTCAGGTAGCAGACCCTGAGGATGGGGGTGGTGTCAGTGAGGTTTTGGAGGACAGAGCTATTTAGACCATGTGGTTTGTCCTCCAGCCTCTAAGCCAGGCATCCCCAACCTTCGGCCCTCCAGATGTTTTGGACTACAATTCCCATCATCTCTGACCACTGGTCCTGTTTGCTAGGGGTCATGGGAGTTGTAGGCCAAAACATCTGGAGGGCCAAAGGTTGGGGATGCCTGCTCTAAGCTGTCCTACTGTCCACAGAATGATGCTGACCCACCAGAAGTGCTGAAATGAGATTCAATTGCTACTCTGAAGAGTTTCTGTATGTGGAATGGGAAAGGGCAATATCATAGAATCATAGAATCTTAGAGCTGGAGGGACCCAAGGGTCATCTAGTCCAATCCCCTGCAATGCAGGAATCTCAACTAAAGCATCCATGACAGATGGCTATCCAACCTCTGCTTAAAAGCTTCAAAGGAAGGAGAGTCCACAACTTCCCAAGGGAGACTGTTCCACTGTTGAACAGCTCTTACTGTCAGAAAGTTTTTCTGTACGTTTAGGCAGTATCTCCTTTCTTGTAATTGAAGCCATTGGTTTGAGTACTACCCTCCAGAGCAGGAGAAAACAGGCTTGTTCCATCTTCCATGTGACAGCCCTTTAGATATTTGAAGATGGCTATCACATCTTCTCTCAGTCTCCTCTTTGCAGGCTAAACATACCAAGCTCCTTCAACCATTCCATGTCTTTTAATGGAAGAGCAGATCCACCAAGTATATTCCCCTTCCACTGAACTAAATGAAGAGGGTGCTTCATATAAGCTACTTAAGCTGTTCAACTGTTCCTCATAAGGCATGACTTCTAGACCCTTGATCATACTAGTTGCCCTCCTCTGCACATGTTCTAGCTTGTCAACATCGTTCTTAACTTGTGGTGCCTAGAACTGGACAGAGTATTCCAGGTGTGAAAGAGTGGTATTATTACTTCCCTTGATATGGACACTATACTTCTGTTGATGCAGCCTAAAACAGCATTCACTTTTTTTGCTGCTGCATCACACTGTTGACTCGTGTTAAGCTTGTAGCCCACCAAGACCCCTAGATCCTTTTCACGTGTACTGCTAGTAAGCCAGGTGTCCCCCATCCTATATTTGTGCATCTGGTTCTTCCTGCCTAAGTGCAGAACCTTACATTTGTCCCTATTGAAATTTATTTTGTTAGCTTGCACCCAGTTCTCTAATCTGTTAAGGTCATTTTGAATTCTGATTCTGTCTTCTGCGGCATTCGTTTCCCATTTTGGTGTCATCTGCAAATTTTATGAGCATCCCCTCAATTCCTTCACCCAAGTCGTTTATAAAGATGTCAAACAACAACGGGCCTAGGACAGAACTCTGTGGCAACCCACTTGTCACTTTTTTCCAGGATGACGAGGAACTATTAATGAGTACTCCTTGGCTTTGATCAGTCAACCAGCTACAAATCCACCTAAAGGTTACCTTGTTCAGCCTACATTATCCCAGCTTCCTCGTGAGAATATCATGGGGGACTTTGTCAAAAGCCTTACTGAAATCAATATACACTATGTCCACAGCATTTCCTTGATCCACCAAGTTTGCTCATGGGTGTCCCCATGCTAGAAAGAAAAGATTCACCACCTCTGCATTAAACCATAGTCTACCAGTAAATGAATCTACATATTTTAGTGTTACATCTAAGCCAGACCTGGATCTTCACAGAAAAAAGTTAAACAATTTACTGAGGCTATGCAAGGATTCATTTCAGTAGTGTTTTGGCTCCTGGCTCTTGCTTTCAAAACAAAATTCTTTATTTTTGCATGCAAAAACTACTGCATGGAGGAAAAAGGTGCCCCAAATTTCTGGGCACTGAGAATTGGTTTGTTTTCATGTGATCACACCTACTGAAATCTAAACAAACTATTGCTTCCATTAGACACTTCAGAAAAAAACATCCATATTGCTGGAGGAATTTTAAGCATAGCTGCTGTTCCATGAGTTAGATAAATAAGACTTTAAAATAATTTCTCACTCTCTTTTCAAATGTATACTCTAATCTCTGAAGGTTAGAATCTTGAGTGGAAATGCAATATTTAACAATTTGCACAGAGATTTCCCCCTTTTTTTTGTTCCTCACTCAATCATTAGAGTACCGCTTTTTCCGGAGTTCACTGTTGATGTAATTATAAGGTATTCAGAAGGTGAACGGTGGCTTGGGAACAAGAGAGATTAATTCTTAGAACTGTATGCTGTGTTTTGACAGTTGAATTTAAGCTATTTCAAATATAAAAAATAAGCTGATTCATTATATAAAAATGGATCTACAAAGAGGTTATCTTTGCCAAAAGGAAATTAAAAAGAAACAGGGATGTGGAAGGCATTATGAAAATTGAAGGTGAGACTATATCAAGAGGAAGGAAAGATGGTGTGTCGCTACCTCATGGGTCTCAGGGGATTCCAGTTCAATTTTGTGGTGAGATGTACACATCCTCTGTGACCTTGGTCAGTTAACTTACAGATTCAGGCCTGCAAACTGGAATTCATGCATTTGTAATCTCCAAACTTGACTACATTATATATTCCGTATGTAGTCTTGGAAGACCAGTCATAGTCTATAGGGCAAATAGTTGAATTTCTTCTGAGAGGAAGGTGTTTGTGGAGCACTGGAGTGCATTTGTCACACCGTAGCATACTGGGAACAACAGGCCAGACATCAGGCAGTGGGTGAAACTTGGGATCCACACTGAGGTAGCTAACTTTAGGGAATATTTTCAGTAGGGGGAGATGGTGTTGCTTCATGCCTTAAGGGAGAAGAGAAGTGGCCGGCAGGAACTCAATTACACTATGCAGAATGTGGCTGGGGAGGCCTGTATGCTCAGCCTTGACCATGGCAATGACCTCTATAGTGGATGGGAGGTGGGGCATCCCCTCTCATCCTCCTAAGACCATTGTCACAGGCAGGGCAAGAGGCAAGAGCAGATTTTATTTAAACCAGGGCATGATGAACAGGTGGTGGTGGAGTGGATGTGGCCACTGAATGGAAGAGGAGGGGAGTTGTGGAGTGCCACAAGAGTGAAGACTGACATGATAAAAATATGAGGCCAATGAAGGAGAAGAGCAAGGGGGTGGGAAATGCACTGAGCCCTCCTAGGCAGCTTTTCACATGAGGGTAACGTTGCAGTGAAGGTAGCCACACTCATCATTCAAGATGCAGGCTGGCCCAGCTCCAGTAACAGATATCAGATGGGCAGGACTGCAGAGCCTACAGAGAGAAACTTTTTGGAAGCCCTGCAATATACGGTTTCCCTCTCCAAATCACACCTGCCTTACCAGAATGAGAAACATGTTAGTTTTATAGATAAGAGGGTTTCTTTCCCCATTTCCTTTGTGTATTGGAAAACCTTAAAAACATGTTTCCTTCACCTTTGTTTCTTTGTACTGGTGTTAGTTTGCTAAATTGGGGGGGGGGCAATCATAACTAATTGATTGATAGCATTTGGTAGAAGAGGGGAAGGGAAGCCAAAATCCAGTGGATTGTGACTATTCAATACAAATACATCCGCTTACACATGTTGCTTCCAATTTTGTTTCCAAATATACAAAACCAATTGTAACTGTGGTAACAATGAAATACTTTTTTTTACAACTTTTCTTATTCAGATAAATTTTGTAGGTTTCTGTACACCAAAATCCAAGCCACCTTCCTGCTTCTCTTTCTATTCACTGTGTGTGTGTCCCCATCTCCAAGTCACTGGGTGTGCCATAAGCTAAAGCTTTTTAAAGTTCACAGAGGAACAAAGAGTTTCCTTCATATAATCATAATGAAGCGAGGGCAAATGGTATGAAAATAAACCTCTGCTTCAGTATTGTTGTGAACTCATGGCAGGATTAAGGGTGAAGAGCAAATGTTTAAATACACACAGACACAATTAGCAAAGGCAACAGGAGAAATTATTAAAGATAACTAAGAGAAAGTGGGTGCATGTTTTAAAAAAGAAAAGGGAAGGCATGCTGGCTCATAAGAAAAATGAAAAAACCACAATAGGCAATACCTTTATTAGGCCAACTAAAACCTCACAAAAGAATCTGAAAGCTTTCATGCTTTCCAGAAGTATTCATCAAGAAATGTTTCTCCCCTGCTTCTTTGCTTTGTTTACCCTAATGAAGATTTCTAGAGAACACACACTAGACTCTGCACACTAGACTGGTTGGCCTAATAATAAATACCTCTACAGTTAGGGATGGGAAAGATTCTCTGAAACCCTTGAGAGTGTGGGAGGAATCTGCCAGCTCCCTACATGTTCTGACTGAATGCATGCCCCAAGTGACTGGAAGGGACTATGGATGAGAGGTACTGTAGATGTGGAAGAGAAGCAGCAGTTAGCTTTTGTATGCAATGCCGAATAAATCTTTTCATGTAACAACCTAAAATATCCTGTGGCAAGGGCATGCTGCTGGGTGCTGCAAGCTACCATCTTGCTCCCACATGCTATTTACCATCGACGTGAAGCCACGGGGGAAAGTCATTAGGAGATCTGGGGGCAAGGTGTCATCAGTATATGAATCACAGAATTGTAGCATTGGAAGGAACCACGAGAGTCATCTAGTCCAACTCCCTGCAATGCAGAAATCTTTTGCCCAAGGTGGGGCTCAAACCCATGACCCTGAGCTTAAGAATCTCATACTCTACTCACTGAGCTATCCCAGCTAAATATGGGATGGATGAGGGTCGAGTAAATGAGGTGCTGTGGGCAAGCAGTTCCTAGGTTCAAATAATCGGTCAATTGTTAGCTTTGGATGGAGTCCTCCTCTGCCTGATGGAGCGTATTTGTAATCTGAGTGTGTTCTTAGATCTATCACTAGATCTAGAGGCCCTGGTGTTGTCAGTGGCTAGGAACTTCAGGTGGGCTAGCCAAACCACTAATGCACTAGTAACTTCCAGATTGGACTACTGCAATGTACTCTTTGTGGGCTTGGCTCAGGAGGTTCAGCTGGCGCAAAATGTCGGTGTTTCACCACTTACTAAAGCAGACTTTTCACCATCATGTTACACTGCTGTAGAAGGAACTGCATTGGCTGCCAGTTAGCTATGAAGCTAAGTTTCAGGTGCTGGTACTGGTGTGTAGAAAGCCCTATGAAGCTTGAGACCAGGATACATTAAAGATTGCCGCATGCCTTACGTGCCCAACAAGCCACTGTGAAACGCAGGAGAGGGGCCTCTACAGATAATTTCCAAATGATGTAAGAATCAAAGCTTTAGCTTGGTGGCCTCCTGGCCTCGTCTCATTACATATTACACTGGCTCCATCTCTATTGTGTCTCCAGTGCTTATTTAAGATGTTCCTTTTCCAACAGGCCTTTTAAGTGGACATTTTTCATCCGAATGCTTTGGATCTGAATTGTTGTTATGTAGGAAATTGCTTAAATTGCTTGTATATAGGGCATGTTATTAATATAGGAAATGGTTGGGACACTGTGAAATATGTCCATGCTTTTCGAGTTTTCTCTTCCCACACATCCACCCACATGCTTGTGCTTGGCCTATATGTATCAGCAGGAGTTTAGTAGTTTGAAGAGGTACGTGGTGCCAAGGCATCCTCCCAGAAAGGGGTATCTGAAGAAGCCACAGAACTTGCTGTGTTTCATATACTGCCATTGTCTAGCATTTGTGCCAGAATAAGTTGGCTTAGCAAACTTGTGGAGTAGGCAACAATCCATTTCAGCAGATGGAGGAGAGAACAGGACACCAACAGAACAGAGCATGCAATTCCAATGTGACTGCTGAAACAAATTTGCCATTTGAGAGTTCGGAAGTACCTTCTTGTCCTTTATACTAAGCTTGTCTGTTTATATCCTTTTAAAAAAAAAAATCCCATTCTTTCTCTATGGAACTCAGGGAGCATTATAAGATTCCATTCTTCATTTTATTTCTGCAATAGCCCTATGAGGTAGGTTGAGCTGAGACCATGTGACTGGCCAAAGCTCACTCAAAACAACTTCATAGCTGGGTAGGGGTTTGAACCAAGAACTCTCTGATCCGAATTCATCACTCAAGCCACAGCACAACACCCACTCTCACCCTTTCCCCAAGGCCACCTAATGAGCATCATGGGTAAGGAGGCGTTTATTCCAAAGACTCATCCAAATATGACTGAACATTCATGTGAATGTTTTAATTAGATAGCAAAATTTAGCAGACATGCGCAGTGGCTGCTGAGGGCTCAGAAATTGCTGGGGTTCTTGGGCAAGAATTCCAATGGTCAGTGGCCTATATTCTTATGTCTCTTCCGAATGGCCTCATGCTTATCTTTACTACACATGTCATGTCCCAAATACCCCACATCCTGCAAAATGCAACTTTTACAAAGAGCATACATTGGATTAATACAGTATATTAATGGACCATTCTTCTGCGTCCAACCAGTCCATGATATCTCCCCACCACATCTTTTCCATACAGATGGATACATGCATGTGCATCGCTCAACACCTGAACGCTTTTCAGCTACCAAAAAGTGAGTGAATGAAGATGAGAGTGAACTAGTCTGTCCACTCCCTCACCTATCAATTGGGTACTATTCCTTCTTAAGAAGAGCAGATTACAGTGCCCTAATTTGGACTTCTGGAAGGGATCATAATAATGTAAGAAGGGCCTGCTGGATGAGGCCAATGACACATCTAGTCCATCATCCTGTCTCACAGTGGCCAAACCAGGTGCCTTTGGGAAACCTGAAAGCAAGACTTGATTGCAAGAGCATTTTCCCCTCCTGTGGTTTCCAGCAGCTGGTGTTCAGAAACATTGCCATCTCTAAAATATGCTTTGACTGGTCTGAACATGGAGGCTGTGCACAAGAGAGCTTCACCATTCTCATCAGTAAAGGCTGCAGCTACATTAAAATAGACCTGTGTCCACAAAGTTCCCCAACTCAGCTGAAATTAATGGGAAAACTATGTTTACAAACTGGAGCCTCTGTGTCCTCAAGGGAACCCTTGGAATGGAAGAAACAAAATCCTTTGTGTTCATGCTCAGCCACTCAGATGCATATTTATCAGATATATTAAAAAGCATAGAGTTAAAATATCAGGTGAGCGGGGTAATTGTGATGATCAGGTTCCAGAATTAGAATCAGGTGTTTGCAAATGGAAAAAAAGAAGTGTTACTGGAAAGATAAAAGTCTGGGTTTGGTGGATAAAAAGAAGAAGAAAATCCTCTGAAGTATTATCTTTTAGCATTTTGAGGGGGGAGAAAGTCCTTGCAGGAGTGGGGGGGGGGGAAGTAGTTTGCTTTTTAAATGAGTTCAGGTGGAGACAATGACATAGCCTATAGCTCCCAGTTAGGAAAATAACCGAACTGTGATGCATATCTGCATTATCAGTAAACAGAATACCTTTCTTATCATAGTCTACAGCACAATTCTTTGATCTTTGCTACTTTTGTTAGACACACCACTGTGGTCTTGGTTAAAATATTTCCACTGTTTTGAAAGTCTTTACTGCTTTAGAAGATCTTGTGTAACCGCGTAGAAATATCCAGACTGACCCAAGCTTCAGTTAATGTAGCACTGGGGCATATTTTGATTAGTATTTAGTTCAGAAAAGAAAAAAAAAGGAGAAATCTGTGGGCAGAAACAATATTGCAAAAGAGAGAAATTTGTTTCATTTGAATAGGCTGCTAAGGGCAGAGTTTGTAAATGAAAACGTACTTCTCAAAATGCCTAAGGGCTTCAATCACCGCCTTTGAATAAGGATGTAATGCTGTTCTATTGAAATCACTGGGAGCTTTGCTGCTGACTTTAATAGAACCAGGATTCATGGAATGGTAGCTTTAATCTTATGTCATGGAGGTAGCCCTGGATTAACCAATGGGAACTGCATGGGGCTAATTTCATGAATTTTGTACTCAATAATTCTCTGTCAAGAAAGTGACCCAGTGCTGAAGATATCACCAGAAAGTGGTAAAATTAGCTTGATATATAGCCAGTACTCAAGATAGGGTGAGAGACCTTTAATGTAATCCGATCACTTATCATGGATAAATGATCACCATACGACATGTGGATACTTTTCATCTGTTGTTGTTGTTTAGTCGTTTAGTCGTGTCTGACTCTTCATGACCCCATGGACCAGAGCACGCCAGACACTCCTGTCTTCCACTGCCTCCTGCAGTTTGGTCAAACTTATGTTGGTAGCTTCGAGAACACTGTCCAACCATCTTGTCCTCTGTCGTCCCCTTGTCCTTGTGCCCTCAATCTTTTCCAAAATCAGGGTCTTTTCTCTTCTCATGAGGTGGCCAGAGTATTGGAGCCTCAGCTTCAGGATCTGTCCTTCCAGTGAGCACTCAGGGATGATTTCCTTCAGAATGGATAGGTTTGGTCTTCTTGCAGTCCATGGGACTCTCAAGAGTCTCCACCAGCACCATAAGGAGGAGGAGGAGACTTTTAATCTAGTCTAATGTATTAAGAAAAAATAATAACCCCAAGGAGAATCTTCAAGGAATTACATATGAGGATAGAAGAGATCTCAATGTGTTATACTATACCAGCCTTCTCAACCTCGTAAGCTCCAAATGTTTTAGACTTTAGACTACAACTCCTGTAATCCCCAACCATTGACCATGATAGAGTTTATGGAAACTGTGGTCCAAAACATCTGGACAGCAGCAGGCTGGAAAAGGCTGCTCTACACTAAATGATCCAGTTAGACATTGGACCTACCTTACACTGAATATTCCAGGGAACTTCTGGTAAAGCATATTGCTCCATGATCTCTGGGAACTGTGACCCTAAATCACAGTCCTCTCCTGCTCCAGCAGTAGCCCCATTGCCACTTACTGGGATGGTATGGGCTGTGGGTCTGGTAAACAGTGTCGGCCCAACAGCAGGTGCACCAGATTAACTCCACCAGTGTGGCCCCCCCTCCCCATCTCACTGTTTAAAACATTTTCTTCTTCAGAATCACCATTAATAAATTCCACAAATGCTTTGATGGAGATACATTTGTTAAATGGACAGCTGATTCCAATAGTACATTAGGAGTCCCAGGAGAATGTATGAAATACAGGGGTTTCAGAAGTGGGAAAGTAATTTCTACTTTTCTTGTGGACAAAAATCCCATTGCAGGTGTTTTTTGAAGTAAGAAAAATGAACGAAACCCATTTCCCCCCTATTTCTAATTATCTTGTTATTAGCAACAGCTTCCAAGATTCAACAACCTGCCAATGCAGGTCTCCTAATATTTAATATGATTCTGCTTTCATTTATGTCTCCCTGGTAGGTAGGCACTTCAATTTAAATGAGCTCTTCCGAAGAGACGGGCTCAAAGGATTATATACATGCACACAAGTGTTGAAAGAAGGCATATCCTAACCTTTAATTATGAATCACACACTAAGATTGTGGTGACAGGGGGGGGGGAGCCTAGCAGCGCAATCCTATAAATATCTACTCAGAAGTAATTGCGTTGACACCCAGAATAAAAGTCAAAACACACATTGCTGGATTGAACCGGGGCCAAAACTTTATTAACTTCTAACAGCAAGGAGATGTGCAACCAAATTTAATGAAGAGCTTAACTGCACGTTATCTTAATGACATGATTAGCAATCACATTGTGGGTTGTTGATTTTTTTTTTTTTTGAAATTAAATATCGGGTCGGTATGGTGGTGGTGGTGTCATCAGCAGCACCGTAACACATAGGAAGAAGAGGTT